TGCTCTTCAGACTGTGAATCCTCATCCTCTTCCTCTTTCCTCCTCTGGAGGAACAAACAACTCCATAAACAACAATACACCAGAGAAAAACCCAAACACGATATGGTTAACATTTGCGATACGGATCTTGAGATCGACTGTGAGATCGAGATTGAGATCGATAATGGGATCGATAATGAGATCGATGGTGAGATCGCTCGTGCGATCTAAAGTGATACCGATTATGATATCGACCGCGGATTCGATTGAAAGATGGGTGATGATCGATAGAGTGGTGGGTAATGAGATCGATGGTGAGGCCGATTGATAAAGAGACCAACCACGAACCCGGGAACCCGGAAACCTGGGAACCCCGCCGCCCATCGAAAGCGGCCCAGAACCAGCAACCGGGACCCCGGAGCTGGGAACCCAGGAACCTGGGAACCCGGCCGCCCACCGAAATCGGCCGGAAACCATCGCCAAATCTTTCAACATCCCACCGTGCCTTTCGTGGGGGCACGGGGGGAGGAGGGGGAGGAGGAGGAACAGGAGGAAGAGGAGGAGGAGGAGGGGGGGGAGGAGGAGGAGGAGGAGGAGGAGGGGGAGGAGGAGGAGGAGGAGGAGGAGGAGCAAGACTTTTTGGGGGCCCCGAATGGAGCAACTAAGAACATCGCATGACTGAGAAGAGAGGCTGCGTGCAGTCGAGGCGCTGGCACAAGGACCAGTCTGGGCTCACGGTGGGGCTCTGGCTTCCGGGCCGCTCCTCAGACCCCCGCTCGGGGGGCCTCTGGCGTGGCCGAGGCTCGCCCCGTGGCCAGGAGAACGCCGACTCGCTCCTCCCTCGGGCGCCCCGCGTGGCAGCACGATGGCTGTCACAAGGCCGCCGCCCCAGGGCTCCCGCGCGGAGCGCGCCAGCGGCGGCGCCTCCGGCGCCGCCCCTGGCGCGGATCCGAGAAATCCGAGATCGGAGGAATCCGTCATTTTTACCGGGATACCGAAAACTCTCGAGAAATCTCGAGAAATCAAAGAAATCTCGAGAAATTCGAGATCGGAGGTCGGTCCTCCGAATTTTTATGTTTATGTCATTCTTCGTTCCCCTCCCGCTGCCCGTGGCTGCCCGCCCGCGCGCTCGCCGTGTGCGGGCGCCTCCCTCCGCGCCTCTCCTCGGGGTGGGCCGAGGGGGGAAGGCGCCAAAGAGGGGGGGGGGGGGCGCAAAGCATAGCCAGCGGCACGTGCGCGGCCCAGGGGCGGGCGTGGGGGGGGGGCAAGGGTTGTCATGAAATCAGAAGAGGCGCCACGAAATCTGGGGAAACATCGCCGCCCACGCCATGAGATCCACACACCCCTAGTCTTAGGTCGGGCAGGTCCTCCTACAAGCGTATGGTATGTTTGAGGAAAATGTAACATAATCAAACCATGCTCCCATTGCCCCCCCCCCCCCCGAAACAAAAACAGTCGGATAATCGTCCCGAGCCTATTCTTTCATACTTTGGAATACTTCTCCTTTATAGGGACAGGCTCGACTTAACCCTATGATCCCAGACATGCGACCTCCTATTTCTTTCAAGACGGCGTCCCCGAAGTCCCGACCCTTTCCCCAGGACCAACTTTTCGTCCCGAGTCGTTTCTTGACGGCCCCGAGGCCCGGCGAGGGCTGCCCAAGGCCGAACACTGCGAAACACCTCCCGCTTTTTTTCCGTTCAAAAAACGACGCGAGCATGTCTGGGATCTCCACCCCCCCCTATAGTCGTCACCCCCCTCCCTGCAGGCCCCCGACCCCCCCCCTCCGCGCGGCTGGGACGCGCACTCTGCCGGGAGCCGCCTCTGCGCCCCGCGCCCCGGGGGGGGCACCTCCGGCGCCCTGCCCGCCCATGCCTCTCCCCACGCAGCCCCTGGGCCTCCGGCGGCTCGAGGAGGTCGCTCCCTCCATCCCCCCCCTCCTCCTTCTCCTCCTCCTTGCCCTCCCCCCCCTGCCCTCCTCCTTCTCCTTCCTCCTCCGCGCTCTCCTCGCCTCCTCCTCTCCTCAGCCTCGTATTATGAGTATTATTCGTATTCGTCTTCATGCTCTTCTTCGTCTTCTTCTTATTCTTATCATTCTTATTAATACTATAATTGAGAGTGCGAGTATTATTATTCTTGCTAGTCTTATCATTAGTATTGTTATCATAACTATATTCGGATTCGTATTATCATCATCATTTTTCACATAAAAAATATTACACTATTATTATTCTTCTTATTATTATTATTAGTAGTATTATTATTATTAGTATTAGTATTCGTATTATTATTATTATTATAGATCTTATTATTATTATTATTATCATTATTATTATTATTACTATTAGTATTATTATTATTATTAGTATTATTAGTATGTGTTTTCTTTTTCTTCTTCCTCTTCCTCCTCCTCCTCCTCCACCACCTCCTCCTCCTCCTCCCCCTCCTCCTCCTCCTCCTCATTCTCCTCCTCCTCCGCCTCCTCCTCCTCCTCCTCCGCCTACCTCCTCCTCCCTCCTCCTCCTCCTCCTCCTCCTCCTCCTCCTCCCCTCCTCCTCCTCCTCCTCCTCCTCCCCCTCCCCCTCCTCCTCCTCCTCCTCCTCCTCCTCTCTTCTCCTCCCTCCTCCTCCTCCTCCTCCTCCTCCTCCTCCTCCTTCCTTCTCCTCCCCCTCCTCCTCCTCCTCCTCCTCCTCCTCCTCCTCCTCCTCCTCCTCCTCCTCCTCCTCCTCCTCCTCCTCCTCCCCTCTGCCGCAGCGGCGTCTAGGATGTGCCACCGCTGCGCCCAGAACAGGAGGGGGGAGGGTGGACGGTTTCCCCCGGGGCCGTAGGCGACCCGAGGAGGGGAGGGCGAGGGCGAGGAGGAGGAGGAGGAGGAGGAGGAGGAGGAGGAGGAGGAGGACGGGTCGCCCAAGCCCTTCGGGGAACCCCTCCAGGGGAGAGAGCCCTGGGGCGGCGGCCTTGTGACAGCCATCGTGCTGTCACGCGGGGCGCCCGAGGGAGGAGCGAGGCGGCGTTTTCCTGGCCACGGGGCGAGCCTCGGCCACGCCAGAGGCTCCCCGAGCGGGGGTCTGAGGAGCGGCCCGAACGCCAGAGCCCCACCGTGAGCCCAGACTGGTCCTTGTGCCAGCGCCTTGACTGCACGCAGCCTCTCTTCTCAGTCATGCGATTTTTTGAGATGCTCCATTCTGGGCCCCCAAAAGTCTTGCCCCTTAAACCCCAGGGCCAGGTTTCGTTCTGGAGGCTTTCGTCCTCCGGGGGCCGAAAACAGCCAAATCATCCCGTCGTAATCACGGCCAAAAGCTTCCGCCGTAATTTGCTTACGGCGCAAGCGCGCCAGCGTTGTTCCAGCGTCGGAGAAGACAAGGACCTTCTCAGAAGGGCCCAGAGGCTTGTGAACAGGGCCCGGAGAGACATCCCAAACGGGGGGGGTATTAGCAGTACTGCTACGGGTTCCTCCCCTGAGTCTGCGCGTACACAAGATGCGTCGCCGCGCCGTTTGTTGTCAACGCGCCCAAGAAGACGACGCCGACACCACGGCAAACCCACGGCAAGCCCTGCGCCCCGCGCCCCAAGCAGACGAAGCTGGCTCCGTGGCAAACCCACGGCGAACCCACCGCGTCCGAGGCGGCGTTTGCCCTGGTGGCCGCGCCCCCCCCCAAGACGCCAAGCTGCGCGTCGGAACGAACGGCGCAGCAACATGTACGGCCTTCTGGCCGAGGCTCTTTTTCGGGGAGAACGTCCGACAGGGGCGCGACTGGCGATGAGGGGCAACGATAAGGGGTGATAGGCATAGGGGGGGAAACATCGACCTGGAAGCGGCGATTCAGCGCCGATAGATCGGCGATAGGTCTCTGCTAGGGAATCCGCACCTTCCTGGGCAGGTTGGGGCTATCGGGCCCCTATCGGCGATCATTGGGCGATTCGGGGTCGATGCATCCCACCTACACCTATCCTTAGGTCGTGCGTACGGCGAGTCCCCCTACAGGCGGAATTTGGACGAACAACTTAAAACACCCTGGAAATTTTCCAAAATTGCCACAACAAAAATAATCCAAAAAACGTCCCCAGACATCGAACAAAAAAACTATCTGTTTTTGAATCTTCCTCCGGCACAGGGACAGTCCAGACTTCAGCCGATGCCCATCCCCCCCCCCTACCGTTGCCCCTGACGGCGAGGGCACAGCCACGCGGCGCTCTCGGGCTCCGGGCCGCGGCGCGAGGCGCAGAGAAGGGCGCGTCACGACACCCCGCTTCGCCAGGGCGCCGCCGCGCTGCGAGGAGCCGCTCGGCCAGGGCGCCGCCGCGACGCGAGGAGGATCCGACCTTCGGGCGCGCTGATTTCTTCGGCCCCGGCGTGTATTCCAAGTCCCTTCTTAGTCGACCCCCCCTTAAAGACCGGACCCCCCCCTCCTGTTGCGACCGCATATTCCAAAGCCCCCTCTGCGATGGGGCGCCTTAATAAACCAGACCCCCTAAGCTCCATTCAAAGAAAACGCCCTAATAAACCAGACCCCCCCAATTACAAAAAAGGCGCCTCAAAAAACCGGACCCGGGGGACGATTAATACGATATTTGGCATATTCTGACGAAGCCAGGACGAGAGCAACATCGGAGGGAGGACAAGCCGAGCAGCTCTGAGATCCAGCGGCTCCGGAGGACGTCTCGGGCGCCGCGGCCTTCTCAGAGCGCCAGAACGGCTGCATCCCCGTCCTAGCCCAGTCTGGAATATCCTCGGCTTCTTTGGGGGCTCCGAGGGCCCGCTTCCAGGGCCCGACGCCATCGACCAACCGATCTGGGACGAAAGCCAGCCGCTCTCGGGTGTCGAGTGAGGACCGCGGGCTGGAAGAAATCAATCCGTCAGAAGTCTGGGCGAGGGAGAAAGAGGAGGTAGAGCTGTCCACAACTTCTACCTTAAATCTTAAGCTTGTAGGCTCGTTCGTATTCAAACTCGCCTGAACGCACCCATATTCATTAATGTACAAACTATCGGGTGCGGTCGTGAGGTGGCAGCGGATGGCCAGCTAAAGAAAATGACAGCGTGACAAGCACGAGAGGAGGGAAAGAGGCACCGTGCTGCCTGGAAGCTGGAAACACACTCACACATACGGCAGTAACCACACGCGAATGTCATCACACGAGCAGAGGAACGTGCGAATGCCGCTTGCTGGATACACATGCGGAGGGCCGACTTACCGAGCAACACCAGGGCCGAGCGTTGGAAATACAGTGGAGGCCACTCCACAAGAAACCTTTCACAAGAAACCCAACCCTGAGACCCCAGACCGTCCATCGTTTTTTGATGTGGGAACGTCACGCTCTCCGTGGCGAAACCATCGAAACCAAAGAGACCCAGGGCACCCCGGAGGCAAGCAGGGTGTTTCTTGGCATGGGCCCCCACTGCACACGTGCGGAGGGCCGCCTTAATTACCGAGCACCACTGGGGCCGAGCGCCGGAAATGCCTGCGGGTGAATGTGTGCCCAATCTCCGACCAGGCCAGCCACGGCACCCAGATCAGCCGAGACTGGCGGGTTCCTCCAGAAACGCTGGCCACAGCGGGGGGGAGGGTGTACTCCAACCTCGTTGATGAGTCTTGGGTTTGCACAGGTCTTCTCTCCTCCTCCTCCTCCTCCTCCTCCTCCTCCTCCTCCTCCTCCTCCTCCTCGCCCCCCCCTCCCCCTCCTCCCCCTCCTCCTCCGCCTCCTCCTCCTCCTCATCCCTCCCCCCTTTCTCCTTCCCACTCCCCCATTCCCGAGGAGATCGGCCGACACTTCGGCCATCACCGATGCATGTTCGGCCGTCGCCCATGCACGTCCAGCTCGGAGCCCGCTGGGGTGTGTGCACTGGATGGGCCCCGAGAAAATCAGCCAAGCGCGGGGATGAAGGTACTCCACTCTAATGGGTTCCCTGGACACCTCCCGGGGTCCATCTGGCGCAGTTTCTTTGCAGCGGATCCGTTTTCCCTCTCGGGGCCAGCAAGCGGCCCCAAGAGGCCCCCAAAAATGCAGCAGGCCTTCCCGAAGCCAGCACCTCGAACCTCGCCCTCACTTCTTGCCCGCTGGAACCGACGTTAGGTCGGGCGTGTCCCCCTACATGCGAATTTTGTTAAAAGAAAACCAGGTAGTTCAAGAATACCCCAAGTGGTTCAAATACGATAAAACAAACATCCCCAGACTATGTGGTATTACTATGTTTGAAATTTCCTCCCGTAGAGGGACACTCCCGACTTAAAACCAACGCTGGGCCACCCAAAACCCCCAGCGGGCTCCATTGTCCAGCGTCCTGGCTGAGGAGGAGCGGGGGGCGGCGGGGAGGGAAGGCGGGGACACGAACCGAAGGCCGAGGGCAGCTCGAAACACGAGCAACCGTCCGCGCCACTCTCCTTCGGGAGGGGGGCCGCTGAGCCAGGCCCCCAAGGGGAAACGCCGCGGGGGGCGGTGGAGGTGGCGCGCCATCGCTCGGACGCCCACTCCCCGTGCATGGCTCGATGCCTCGCGCCTCGTCTCCCGTGTGATGATCCCATCTGCGCCTCGATGGCCCTGGCCGAGAACGGATCAGACATCCGAGCGATTCCAAGGTTCGGGGATGGACAGACGCCCCTTTAGTAAAACGTGGTTCAGGGAAAGCGACCTCGGGCCCGAACCTGGCGGGCGCAAGCCTGGAAAATGACGGCCGCGGCGCCCTCTCGAGAACCGAAAACGGACAATCCACTGATCGACGTGTCAGGGTAGGAGGTCTATCCACCGCCGAAAGGTGCAGGAATCTTGTCGTCTTGGCGCCGTGGCCTGGAGCACCGCGCGCTCGGGCAGTGCGGCCGGGGCCGGGACGCGCGCGCGAGCCTCCTGCCCGCCCGGGGCGCCTCGCGCCCGCGGAGCCTCGCCCGCGCCTCGAGGCTCGGGGCCTCTGCCCGAAGAAAGCCTCGCGCAGCGCGCTTCCCGCGAGGCGCGACCAGCTTTGCGCACTCGCGCCCGGGCGCCTACCCCCTCTGAGTAGGGCGGCCGCTCCTAGGGGGCAAACAGACCTACCTCGCTTTTGACCACCCTCGCTTCCAAGAGATACCAAGCGATGCCAAACTACGGCCTGTACTGGTCAGGCCGCTTGACGAGGAGGCGCGTGGTATGACTTGGTTTTGCCTGGAAGCGAAAGCGGGGTAGGTAATTCACGCTCTGAGCTCCGGCGCACACCACGGCGCGCGAGGCCCGGTCATCTCCGCGCCCCCGCCGGCGACGACCCAGACCTCAGAGCCCGCCTCCCGCGAGAGATCCCGAGAGCCGTTCGGGCGCGACCCCAGGGGCCGTTCTGGCAGTTCTGGGAGCACTCTCGGATCTCGCATATGTCCCGCGCTGCACCAGGGCGCGATTCCCTTCGCGCCCCTGCGAGTGACCGATGGAAGGCATTCAATTGAGCATACGGTGGACAAGGGACCCTTGGATAAGGAACCCCAGGGTCTGGAAGCCAAGGGGACGCGAATTGAGGCTGTGTCATGGACAGCATGCCCTCATCAGAAAAGGAATCCACCAGGGTCTACGGCCTCCTGGGCGCATTCCTTAACGAACGCCCCTACCATACCTCGCCCTGCGCCATGGCGCGATTATCCTCGCGCCCCTGCGAGTGACCGATCGAGGGCCCTCAATTTAGCACAGGGCCTTTGTGCATCACGCACCACCGCCGCGCCTGGCCAGGACCCCTGCCATGGCGAAGTCGCCCTCCTGGCAGAGGCCAGCAGGGCAAAAACACCATCCCTGGGCCCAGGCTGGCCCTTCTGCGGACGTGTGGCGCTCCCTCCTGGAGGGCCTGGCCGGGAGTCAGGGCTTCTCCTCCTCCTCCTCTTCCTCCTCCTCCTCCACCTCCTCCTCCTCCTCCTCCTTCCTCCTCCTCCTTCCCTCCTCCTCCTCCCTCCTCCTCCCTCCTCCTCCTCCCCCCTCCTCCCCCCCTCCTCCTCCTCCCCCCCCTCCTCCTCCCCCCCCCCCCCTCCTCCTCCCTCCTCCTCCGCCTCCGCCTCCCCTCCTCCTCCCTCCTCCTCCTCCTCCTCCTCCTCCTGCTCCTCCTCCTCCTCCTCCTCCTCCTCCTCCCTCCTCCTCCTCCTCCTCCTCTTCCTCCTCCTCCTCCTCCTCCTCCTCCTCCTCCTCCTCCTCCTCCTCCTCCTCCTCCTCCTCCTCCTCCTCCCCCTCCCCCTCCATGTGGCGCTCCCTCTTGGAGGGCCTGGCCGGGAGTCAGGGGACCTGCCTCAATCGATAGGGTCTCAGCGCGTCGTGGTGGCACTGCACGCTCGCGTGCAGCGCAGCGCTGGACAGCGAGAGCCGCACCAGCGGGACGTCGTGCGACAGGCTCCAGGTCGCCGCCGCGAAGTAGCTCTGCACCTCCCTTCCGCCCCGCCTTCCCCCTCCAACCTTCTCGTCTAGAGGCCTCCTAAATGGGGTCGGAGTAGATGGGGTCGGAGAATCTCGCCGCATCGCCGATACATCGGCGATGCATCGGCGATGCGCTGGCGATGCATCGACGACGACAGCGAAGCATCGGCGACGTCGGCGTGGGGAAACACGGGCTCCACATCGAGCCGCATCGCCGATGCATCGGCGATGCGGCGCGATCCTTCGACCCCATCTACTCCGACTCCATCTAGGAGGCTAAGATAATCGTTCGCCTCCTCCCCCATCTTACGCATCCTCTCGGGCGGGCGGTAATGGGGGGTGACCCAAATGGGGGGTGAAGGAAAGGACCTAAAGGGGCCCTTGTGGCACCAACTGGCTCCAGACCCCTACAGGGCCTCTTTGGAGGGCCATTTGCTTCACCCCCACTACCGCCCGCCCGATCCTCTCGCTCCTCCTGCTGGTCCTCCCTGTCTGCCTCTCCGCTCCTCCTCCTTCGCCTCCTCCTCCTCCTCCCCCTCCTCCCCCTCCTCCTCCCCCTCCCTCCCTCCTCCTCCTCCTCCCGCCTTCGCCTCCTCCGCCTCCTCGCCTCCTCCCTCCTCCCCCTCCTCCCCCTCCTCTCCTCCTCCTCCTCCTCCTCCTCCTCCTCCTCCTCCTCCTGCTCCTCCTCCTCCGCCTCCTTCTCAGAGCCGCGCTAGCTCCTCCGGCGGTCGAACAAACCACGCACCCTCAGCCGCTCCCGGGCTCCACAGCGCTTACGCGGAAGGAGTCGCGCGTGCGCGAAGAGCCTCACCACCTCTGCCACTGGCACGCAAGGAACCCAACTTTAGGTCGGGCATGTCTCCCTACAGGCGGATCTTGGACGAAAAAATTGAAATAGTCAACACAAATACTCCAAACACGGTCAAACATAGTCCAAACATCGTCCCCAGAGTAGTTATGGACTATTTCTGCACATTCCTCCTGTAAAAGGACAGGCCGACTTAAGCCTAACTACGGCTGGTTCGCGTCGTGCCGACCCCGACATTGGTCTCTGACACCGTGGGGATCGTTCAGCCTTTAACGATCGGCCGTTTCCGAAACGTCCAAATCGTTACGCATCGAACGATTCTGGGTCGCCCGCGGCGTTTGAAATTGAGCTCCGCTGGCGGGGTCGCCGCCGGTCGACACGACACGAACCTTCGGTACCGTTATGGCTGCTGCGCTGCACGTGCCCTTTCGCCAGCTTTCGACCTGTGGCCCCCCGCAGTGTGCGGGCTGCACAAACGCGCGCTCCTTGGAAGCATGCGCGCTGCCCTGAAGCTGGGGGCTCCAAAATCAGCGGATGAAACGCATGGGTCACACGCGCGTTTGTGTCTGATTCTGCGCGTCCCGCAGCATTACGACTGGCTGCTCTGGCGACGTGGCGAGGAAAGGGCAACATATGTGTGGAACGGCGCACGTGGACGGCAGGATGGCAATATGAACACGTGGGGGATCGCCTCGCTGCAAACCTTTCACGAACCACGCAGCACGGGGCAGAACACGTCATACCAATCTACACATTTGCCACACAAACCGCACTCGCGCCAAGCCCGCATGTCATGAGGGGCCCCTCTGACTTGCAGAAGAGACGCCCCCGCGGTACGAACTCACACGGGTTCTGCGGCGGATTTCCGCACACCCTTGGGGTAGTCGAAACTTGCGTAACACACGCCCCTCAAACTTTGGTTCAGCAGCGATGTACACGCGGGGGGGGGGGGGGGGGGGGCGAAAATCCAGGTGCCACTTTGCCACGCGTGAGGTGAACAAGCCTAGGCTTGCAGGACTGAGGGAAACATCGAAGCGCTTGTACTGAAACACTCTCCGGCAATGTGCGGGATTGCCGTTGACCGCAGCAGTGGTTGAATTACACCAGAGAAAAAAGCCCAACTAGTGGATGGTATGATGCGATCGATGGTAGATCGTTTGATTGAGATGATGAGGGAGATCGATCATGTGATCGATAGAGCATCGTGGGATCGACGAAAAGGTCGATAAAGAGATCGGCCGGGACCCCGGGAACCCGGAACCCACTGAAATCGGCCCGGAACCAATAACCAGGAACCCGAGAACCCAGAACTGGGAACCCAGGAACCCAGCTGGCCACCAACATCGGCGGTGAACTCGCCACATCTTCCGATTTCCGCTAGGAGCCCCTCAGTGCGAGGACTGATTGGGGACCAAAAGATAGAAGTTGATTCAGGGAAGCAGCTAAAGGGCCCCTAGCAGAAATCATCAGTGCAAGCACTGCAAGGACGGCGTCCCTGGAAGTCCCGACCCTTTCCCCGGGGCCGTTTTCTCATCCCGAATCGCTTTCCGACGGTCCCGGGGCCCGACGAGGGCCCCCAGGGGCCGAAACTAGTGAAGGACTTGCCGCCCTGATGTTCTTACGGCGCGAACATGTCTGGGACCAGATGTTCAACAAAGGACAGACGTTGATGCAAAGATGGCGGGGTGCTCTGCCTGGGTGCAAAGCGCTGCTTCCGGGCCAGGGTCACAAGGAGGCCTCGGGACACGCCGAGGAGGAGACTCAGGACACAGATGGGCCACGCACGCAGCATGGCAGGGAAGGGCAAACGCCCTCGTGGCTTTCTCAACCCAGACACGCTCGCGTCATAAAACATCAGGACGAAAGGTTGTTCGCTATTTTCGGCCTCTAGCGGTCCTCGCCTGGCCTCGGGGCCGTCAAACAACGACTCGGGACGAAAAGCCGGTCCCAGGAAAAGGATCGGAATTTCCAGGGGCGCCGTCCTGAAAAAATCAGGACGTCGCATGTCTGGGAATGGGCAGTGCGGAAGCGGCACTACGTCATTACGATTTAGGTCCACGCCAAGTCTGCCTCATACAGCAGTGCTTGCTGGCGCACGTAGGCACACGGCTGGGCATGCTGGCGCAGCCCAAACACACTGAGTAAACCCATGTTGCGGCAACGTGACAACAGCCTTGCAGAGTGGATCACAACAGCTGCCTGCGAACGATCTCAAGCAGGCGCAACACGACAGATCTCGCTACCATTGGGTCCAGTAGCGAGCGGAATCGAAGCGCATGAACACAACGCACGATTCAGAATCTTGCGCGGGCGGTTAACTTACGCTTACGCGTTGACTGATATTACCATGGGACACGCATGGAACGCTTCTCTTTCTCACGACAAGCTAACATGGTGTGCTCGCGGGGGTGGCGGTGAAGAGATGCGACTGGGGACTCGAACCGTGACCTGCGTCGCTCTATTGGAGATGCAGTGGCTGCGGCGCTGGCCTTTTCATACTCCCGCTGCCGCTGGACCCCCAGCGCCCCGAACCAATCGTGACAAACCAGCCCAACGAGCAGGCCTGCTTCCTTCCGAGCTTGACGTAACAGTCGCGCCATGCAATTTTCGGAACTTGCGCCACGCCACGCCACGCCACGCCATCCGCCGCGCTGGCCTACGAAGGCCGCCGGGCCATCCAATGGCGCTCAACATCGGAATCCGCAGAGGGCGGGGGGTGGAAAGCACCCCCAGCCGGCCCCTGGCACGATCCCAGTCGGGACCCCCCCCCACCGACCAATAAAGGAGAAATCAGGCAGAGAAGAGGAGAAGGGGAAAGGAGGGGCAGAGAGGAAAGGAGAAATAACAGGGACAGGCAGGGAAAGGGAGGAAGAACGGGCAAAAAGGGGCCAAGAACCAACCAGGGTCGAAGCGGGGGCCGGCGCAGGGAAGGAGAGGAGGGTAGGCCCCCGATAGCCCGCGGCACCCTGCAACACAAGCCGCGTAGCGAAAAAACTGCAGCATCGTAAAAAATCACGCCCGCAGCCCTAGACGTTTATCTTTTTGCGTCATTTCCCGAGCCGGCTCGATCTGTGAGGGCCCCGCGGCTCGAGAAGAGGCGAAACATATATTTTTTCCTCTGCGGCGAGGCGGCGAACTCCGCTCCAGCGAGAAGCTAGACAGGGGCACTAACTAGCGAATTGGCCGGCGGGGCAAAGAGAGAGGGGGGACGGCCGAGAGGAAGGAGTGACACTCAAACGCCAAAGAACGCAACGATGAAAAAATACCCTGTGACGTACACAACCCATTTGTATCAATGGAAACGAGGAGTTGGCCGAACCTTGCATGGACAATCAACTTGATGTGTAAGCTACTTGGGACACGCGCCCATGGCACGATGCGCAGGAGAACCATACAAAAACGAGGGGCGACAGCTACAGGCTCGAAGAGGACATGGGGAGTCGGGAACGCAGAGCAGGAGAAAAACGTGCGGGAAGCCGAACCATCAGCACGGCAGCAGCAGAGGGAAGGTGACTGCAGGAGGAGAACAAAGACGAAAGCGGCGTCTAATTTGAGTCTGCGGTGGGTACCAACTGTGCTGTGGGCTGTGCCCCTCAGCAACCCTCGAAAGTGGCGAGGGTTTCACAGATCGTAGCCCTCCAGGGATGGCGAGGTCCCATTTGAGTCCGCCGTGTGTACCCACTGTGCTGGGCCCCTCAGCGGCCCTCGAAAGTGGCGACAGCTTCACAGATCGCAGCCCCCCAGGGGTGGCGAGGTCTAATTTGAGTCCGCGGTGTGTACCCGCTGTGCTGGGCCCCCCAGCAGGCCTCGAAAGTGGCGACAGTTTCACAGATCGCAGCCCCCCAGGGATGGCGAGGTCCCATTTGAGCCCGCGGTGGGTACCCACAGTGTTGGGCCCCTCAGCAAGCCTCGACAGTGGCGACAGTTTCACAGATCGCAGCCCCCCAGGGATGGCGAGGTCCCATTTGAGCCCGCGGTGGGTACCCACAGTGCTGGGCCCCCCAGCAGGCCTCGAAAGTGGCGACAGTTTCACAGATCGCAGCCCCCCAGGGATGGCGAGGTCTAATTTGAGTCCGCGGTGGGTGCCCACTGTGCTGGCCCCCCCAGCAGGCCTCGAAAGTGGCGACAGTTTCACAGATCGCAGCCCCCCAGGGATGGCGAGGTCCCATTTGAGTCCGCCGTGGTACCCACTGTGCTGGGCCCCCCAGCAGGCCTCGAAAGTGGCGACAGTTTCACAGATCGCAGCCCCCCAGGGATGGCGAGGTCCATTTGAGTCCGCGGTGGTACCCACTGTGCTGGGCCCCCCAGCAGGCCTCGAAAGTGGCGACAGTTTCACAGATCGCAGCCCCCCAGGGATGGCGAGGTCCATTTGAGTCCGCGGTGGTACCCACTGTGCTGGGCCCCCCAGCAGGCCTCGAAAGTGGCGACAGTTTCACAAATCGCAGCCCCCCAGGGATGGCGAGGTCCTAATTTGAGTCCGCCGTGGGTACCCACTGTGCTGGGCCCCCCAGCAGGCCTCGAAAGTGGCGACAGTTTCACAGATCGCAGCCCCCCAGGGATGGCGAGGTCCAATTTGAATCCGCGTGTGTACCCACTGTGCTGGGCCCCCCAGCAGGCCTCGAAAGTGGCGACAGTTTCACAGATCGCAGCCCCCCAGGGATGGCGAGGTCTAATTTGGGTCCGCCCGTGGCGTCACTGTGCTGGGCCCCCCAGCAGGCCTCGAAAGTGGCGACAGTTTCACAGATCGCAGCCCCCCAGGGATGGCGAGGTCCCATTTGAGTACCCACTGTGCTGGGCCCCCCAGCAGGCCTCGAAAGTGGCGACAGTTTCACAGATCGCAGCCCCCCAGGGATGGCGAGGTCCCATTTGAGTCCGCCGTGTGTACCCACTGTGCTGGCCCCCCCAGCAGGCCTCGAAAGTGGCGACAGTTTCACAGATCGCAGCCCCCCAGGGATGGCGAGGTCCCATTTGAGTCCGCGGTGTGTACCCACTGTGCTGGGCCCCCAGACAGGCCTCGAAAGTGGCGACAGTTTCACAGATCGCAGCCCCCCAGCTGGCACGCAGCGACGAGCGAGGCAAAAGGCAAGGGGGAAGAGAGGGGACGGGAAGGAAGGAAGTAAGGAAATAGACGCGCGAGCAGTGCTCTATTCAAAACGAGAACCCAACGCAGGAGGGTTGGGAAAAAAACGAAAACGCCCGGCTCGAAAAAATTGAGACGCCAGGATCTCAGGGGGGCCTGCATGGGGTCTCTGCATGGCCGCTGGCCTCCAAAAAAAGGCTCGGCAGCTCCCCGGCCGCGGAAAAGCCTCAAGCTCGGAGGCCCCCCGGGGGGAGTCATAAGAGAGATGGCGAGACGCCAAGAAACACTGGAGTGCTATGGATCCTCCTTCTCGTGCCTCCTCCTCCTCCTCCTCCTCCTTCTCCTCCTCCTCCTTCCCCCCCTCCTCCTCCCCATCCTCCTTTCGACCTCCTCCTCCTCCTCCTCCTCCACCTCCTCATCCTCCTCCTCCTCCTCCTCCTCCTCCTCCTCCTCCCGCCCGCCCGCCCGCCCGCCCTCCCTCCCTCCCTCCCTCCCTTTCCTCTTCCTCCTTCTCCTCCCCCTCCCTCCCTTCCCCCTGCGTCCCTCCCCCCTGCTGATCTCCCTCCTGTCCTCCCTCCGGGGTCTGCGCCTCCTTCACCATGTTCTTCCGGCTGCCGGAGCCTTGGCTGCTGTGCAGGCTCTCCCACACGTTGCCCCAGCTCTGCTGTATGCCGGGCACCGCGGTGAGCGCCGCGGCCCGCCGGCAGTCCACGTACTTGTCCCCGCCCTCGACCTGGGGGGTGGGGCCGAGCGCACGGGACAGGACAACCACGCCGTGCAGAGGATGACGCGAAGAATGATGACGGTGATGATGATGATGATGATGATGATGATGATGATGATGATGATGATGATGATGATGATGATGATGATGTTGATGATGATGCTGATGCTGTTGATGCTGATGCTGATGTTGATGCAAATGCTGATGATGATTATTATCATGCTGATTAATATGATGATTGTGCTGATGATGGTGATCACGGATCCTGCTGTAAAAATTGTGTCAGGTTGGGAGGCCTAAAACCGCACGCGGCACAACAAACAACTCACGTCATTGAGGGCGGTCCGGCTGGGAAAAAGCGCCCGAGCGAGCGCGCCAGCATGCGGGCCACTTTGTCGTCATGCCTAGACTCGAAGGAGACGAGGAGCTGGCGCATCACGTCAACGAGGGTATCGTAGACATGCTGGGGGACCCCCTCGTCACGGGCCCTTGCGAAGCTGCGCGAGCAGGACCTCGTGCACGTGGATATTGGACGCTAGCTGCTCCGACGAGGTGGCCTCGCGAAGGCCTCGATTGAGGCTGGCAGGGCCGGCGGCCTCACTGAAATCAGAAATGATAGTGCGGGTACTCTGGGCGAGTACTTTGACTTCTGTGCGCGCCTCCTCCCGCTCCTCATGCATGGAGGCAATGCTGGTGCGCGCGTCAGTGTCCATGCGGCCCACAATGTCCATGACCTCCGAGCGCAGTGGAGGAGAGGCTTCGTGCTGCATGGCCGTGAGCCTGGAACCAATTTCCGTGAGCTCGCCCATGCCGCTTTTAACGTCAGGTCGGGCATGTCCTCCTACAGGCGGGTTTAGGATGAAGAATTAGAAATCTTCAAAACATACTCAAAACATTCAAACATGGTCAAGAAATCGTCCCCATATTTTTTGTTTGTCAATTTTTTGACATTCCTCCTGCAAATGGACGGGTCCGACTTAATTTTGACGTCACGAATTTTGATCGAGCTCCACCCAAAACGTGAAGCGGCGACCACGACGCTCGGATGCGGCGTGGGCATCGAGATCGGAGAGAAACGCAAACACTGGAGATAGGTCGGGCATGCCCCCCTATGGACGGACAAAAACAACACCCTGAAAAGATACATTACACCTGAAAGACCCAATCTGTGGATGATTTGAAAATTGATACTATGGATCTTGAGATCGATTGTGAGATCGATAATGAGATCGATAGTGGAATCGATAGTGAGGACAATTGTAAGGTCGATCGTGAAACCAAGAGTGAAATCGGTTCAATGAGATCGATAGTGAGATCGATCGCGAGATAGCTCATGCGATCTCTAGTGAGATCGCTTGTGAGATTGATAATGAGATCGATTGAGAGATCGATGGTGAGATCGAACGAGAAAACGGTAATGAGATCGGTGGTGAGACCGATCGATAAGAAGATCGCAAGAAAACCCGGGAACCTGGGAACCTCGCCGCCCTCCGGAACCGGGAACCCGGGAACCCGGAACCGGGAACCCGGGAATCCAGGAACCCAGCCTGCCACCAAAATCGGCGGGGAACTTTCGCCAAATCCTTCAACATCCGCTAGGACCCCTTCAGTGCAAGCACTGATTGGAGAAAAAAAAAATGTTCAAAAATTGTCCAAACATCGTCCCCAGACTTTTAGTTGACTATATCTTGGAACATTCCTCCTGTAGAGGGACACGCCACACATAACACTGGAGCCTAATCGCGTTCCTGGAAACAGTCCACACGCCCAGCCAGTGGTCAAAGATACCGGTCGAACCGTTGCAACTTATCGTCGACTGCACCAGAATCGATCCCACTCTGAGCAATGTGCGAATCCATTTCGACCTGGGACTTGCTTTGGATATTCTGGAGGCTCTGGAAACGGAAATCAACGCACTGAACGAAAATGTCGCACCTATTCCCGATGTCGGCAATTCGCTCAAGGCACAATTCGTGGCGCTCCCACGCAGTGCGTGCGAGGCCAGCGGCACTAAGATCAATCTGCTCCTGGATAGCGGCAACATGGGTGCTGAGCTGAGCGTTTATGTGATTGACCTTGGCGCTGAGGTTCTATATTTGCCACAGTACGTCGGAAACCGCCTGAGATTAATGATGGGAAGAAAGACAGAGTTCTTGCAGAACTGTCCAGAAAAAAGCAAAGCCATTGTCAGAGCTCAACAGGGAAGCAGTCTGCCCACAACCCACACATGATGATGTTGGTGATGACGATGATGATGATGATGATGATGATGATGATGATGATGATGATGATGATGATGATGATGATGATGATGATGATGACGATGACGATGACGATGATGATGATGATGATGATGATGATGATGATGATGATGAAGATGGTGATGGTGATGGTGATGGTGCTGATGCTGATGCTGATGATCGTCGTAATCATAATCATGCCCTGAAGGGTGCGCGGGCTGTTCGGCAAGGGCGCTCACGGCTCTTGCTGGGAACCGATGCGGATTGTCGCTCGAGATGTCCTAATGGGGACCGCTGCGAAAGCCTTCCCTTCTTCCCCGTCCCAATTCTCCTCGTCCTCTTCTTTCTTTCAAAAAGTTCACCTGAAATTGAGTGGGAGCGTGTTCCTTTTACTTCCTTTTCATTCTGCGTGCTCCCCTCCTCCTCCTGCTGGGCCTCCTCCTCCTCCTCCTCCTCGTCCTCCTCGTCCTCCTCCTCATACGGCAAGTTCGTGTCGTGTCGACCCCAGCACTGGTTTCTGACACCACGGGGATCGTTGAACCTGTTCAAAACGCAAGATCGTTCAACATCGACCGATTCTGGGTCGCCAGCGGCGTTCAACGTTGAACGCCGGCGGCGGGGTCGCCGTCGGTCGACACGACGCGAACCTGCTGTGCTAGGCAAGAATTACCGTTTGTGCACGGCTTTAGGTGGGCGCTGGGGGACCAAACCCAGGCGCGCAAGCCGCTGCTATCGCATCGAACTCAACGATCGGGGGATCCCAATGCGCCCGTGCCAAAGACCTCTCCGGCGAAGGGTCAATCTTACGAGTAGCCGAACCCTGCATCTGACGATCATGGCTGTTCCGATACGCAACACGTGACACGTGGCGTATTGATGCGGAGCTCAACGCGTGGACTGAAAACGTAGGTCCGACGCGATGGGCCCGCCAACAAACCGTGGGCCAATATGCCGAGCCAGCGCGCAACGCATCGGCATCGACGTTTTCAACGCAGCACGCGGGGGGTCCAGCACGGATCCGAGAACTCCGCGCGGACCTCCGAGTTGTTATGTTTATGCCATTCTTCGTTTCCCTGACGGCACGCGCTGCGTTTCAAAGCGGGCGTATCGATAAAGCTGAGCCGACGATCTGGTGCGGGGAGGAGGAGGAGGAGGAGGAGGAGGAGGAGGAGGAGGAGGAGATGGAAGAGGAGGAGGAGGAGGAGGAGGAGGAGGGGGAGGGGGAGGAGGAGATGGAGGAGGAAGAGATGATGGAGGAGCAGGAGCAGGAGGAGGAGGAGGAGCTTGAGGAGCAGGAGGAGGAGATGGAGGAGGAGGAGGAGGAGGAGGAGGAGGAGGAGGAGGAGGAGGAGATGGAGGAGGAGGTGGCGTCCGGCGACCAGCTTGTGCACGCGGGCAATCTCCTCCGCGGGGCGCACGCGCAGGATTGGGGCGGAGCTGCTCGCGGCCAGGCGCCCGCCCGCGCCCTCGCCGTGGTCGTGCCGCCCCTCGGGCACCAGGGCGTCGTGGTCGGCGAAGGCGCCCTCCTCCTCGTCGGGGCATTGGAAGAGGGAACAATGGCATGCACATGGCATCGTTCTCTCATTCGGCGCGTCGGCGTTGGGCGGTGAGGGGAGGGGGAGGGGCGGGTTGGTCTGGCTCTGGACCTCTGCTCCGTGCGACTGCTTGCAGCAGTACGTCCCATGGGGGAGGCTCCATCTACCTGAAATAGGCGCCAAAAACAACCAAGATCTACTCCATGGGGTGGTCTAGGGATAGGGGGGGAAATATTGACCTGGAATCGGCGATACATCGCCGATCGATCGGCGATAGGCCTCCGTCAGTAAATCCGAACCTTCCTGGGCAGGTTGGGGCTATCGGGCCCCTACCAGTGATCAATGGGCGTCGTGGTCGGCAAAGGCGCCCTCCTCCTCGTCGGGGCATTAGGAGAAGAAAGAAACGCGATAAGCATGAACCCAAAAGTCAAAGTTCGCACGCGCGGGGAAGTGACTGCGGTCGAATGCCAGCTCATTCAACCCACTGCCACCATTGAACATTGGTGAGGGGCATTGACAGACGAATGCGGCATGGGTGTTCGCTAATTTCTTCCGAGGCCTGGAGGGCAAGCTCCCCGTAGCAACTCATTGGAGACGCCCATACCATCTGGCTAGCCCTTGCAATGAGGCGCTGATCGACGCTTGCCGACGCTAAACAACGTTAACTCGATGCTAATCGGCGCTTGTCGACGCTGATCGACGTTGAATCGGCGCCATCTCCTCGATTGCCAGACGTTCATCGACGCTGGTGCACTGGATTCTGCAGACGGAAATGCGAGGGTACACAAGGTTCCCATGGTTTGCTAACGAACTACAGGCACTGGAGAGGCAGAGAGGGACAGAGGACAAGCTAGGTGCGCTCGCGCGTATCTGGTGTCCACTGCCATTGTATCAAGCCTCTCTCTGTTCGCAGAAGCGGATGTCGAAGAGGACACCAAGCCCCAAAGGGTAACCGAGACATAGCATGGCACAGCATTGCGTTGCCAAGCAGTGCGTGCCATGGAATTGCAGCGCAGGGTATGGCATCGCATAAGGTGGAGAGGACGATCAGAGGAAGAGAAGGTTCTGATACAACTACTCTCCCTCATGTTCGCCTTTTGGGGCCTCCTGGGAGGCCCTCGCCACCACGGCTAGATTCGGCTCGAGATTCTGGTCATCGCGCACCCCGGGAAACATCCGAGCAGTAGTGCTATCGGCCCTGGGGTTTAAGGGTCAAGACTTCTGGGGGGCCCGAATTCAACAGCTCAGAACATCGCATGAGTGAGAAGAGAGGCTGCGTACAGTCAAGACGCCGCGACAAGGACCACTTTGGGCTCAGGAGGCGCTCTGGCTTTCCTGCCGCTCCTCAGACCCAGCCGTGGCACCTACGAGTGGCCGAGGTTCGCCTTGGCTTGAAAAGCCCCTAGGCTCAATCCTCAGTGTTGCTTATGATATGATGGTATTACGATGACTGGTCTTCGTGGAAACTCTTCAATCAGGGGCGGCCAAGAAGGGTGCGTCCAAGAGGGGGGCGCAAATCATGGCCGGAGGCACATGTGCGCGGCCCAGGGGGGGCTGGGAGCGTAATGGAGTAAGGAGAGGCGCCACGCCATCTGAGGAAGTATCATTGCCCCCGCCATGAAATCACCCCCCCCATAGTCATCACCCCCCTCTTGGCCGCCCCCGATTCAAAGCTAAGAAGCTGGATTTGGGGGTCGCTGGGCTCAACCTGATGAGGTCCAGGACGCAGCCGGACTGGGCGCGACTGAGCGAAACCAGGCAAGATTATGCCGGTGTTCCACCTCGGACATACCAGCGCCGATACTGACTCTAATCGCCCGGGATCTGCAGCCTGAGGCAGGGGAGGGCAGAGAGGGATAGTGAGCGATGATTTCGTTTTCGGCGTTTCGACATTGGGCGGAAGGGGGTGGAGGGGGGGTCTGGCTCCGGACCTCTGCTTAATGCGACTGTTTGCAACAGTGCGTGCGCCCAAAACAACCAGGATCTACTCCAGGGAGGGGGGGGAGCCAAGGGCCCGCGCCGATCGGCAAAACAATGATTAAGTAACTATGACATGTGGAAAGACCCAGACCTCAAGCGAGGATGTTTGGGGGTACCATGCCCCCGATCGCGAATCCGCGAGGTCCCGGGCGGAGCAGAACACCAGGCTCCCATCGGCGATCAATGGGCGATTGGGGGTCCATTCGGTCCCCCCCCCTGGGCACATCCCCCCTATCTCGCGCTATTGTGGACTATCCTCGTCGCGTGGCGACTCCAAGAAATTAATGACTTAGGAACTGTCTCTACATCCGACTGAAAATTGTGGAAACCATACCGCGTGCACGTTCCGAGAAGGTTCGGCACTCAACAGGCAACGCCGCAACTCTTACTCGGACCGCGGGGCAGGCCGACAAAGAAAAGCGGGCCAGGCTAAGCCAAAAAACGGGCAGGACAACGAGGAGCCGAGGAGCGCGAGGGGGAGAGGTAAGGAGGGCGACAGGGCAGGACAGACCGGGCCGACAGACGGACGCACGGGGGGACGGGGAGAAGAAGCCAAGCAAGGAGGGCGAGGGAGAGCACGCCCACCCACGAACCCAGAAACCCAAGGGCAAGGAGAGGACACGGAGAGAGGAGAGTCGGGTCGGGCGAAAGGGGGGGATAGCAAAGGGGGGGTTTGAGAATCAGCTCACGGAGCTGAATTTCCCGGCGCCTCCCAGCGCCGGAGGCGGCGTATCGAGGAATGGGCCCTTCGGTGGGGCCGAAACCAGCTGCACGCAGCAAATTTCGTAACCCCCCCTTTCCCAATCCGCCCCTTTCGTCCAGCCCGAGAGAGGGGAGAGGGGGGGAGCCGAGGGCCAAAGTCGAGGCAGGGCAGGAGGGACGCGCACAGAAGGGGCCAGCGGGCCGGGGAGGGGGCAGGAGGCCCACGGCGCAGCGCTCGGGGCGCCGACGGGCGGCTGGCCGCGGATTCCGGCGAGGCTCCTGCCCTGAGCACCGCGCGCGCGGGGCGGGCAAATCCCGCCCCATGTGCATGATTCAACAGGGGCGCAGAGGCACGAGGACGAACAGAAGAGGAGGAGGAGGAGGAGGAGGAGGAGGAGGAGGAGGAGGAAAGCACTACGTCCTCCCCCTCTTCGTCAGTGGCACGGACGTGTTGCCTCACAGTGGGGAGCGGGCCATTGGAACTCCCCATGGCCGCTCGTTGGCTGACTGCTCGCGCGGAGCTGCGCGCTATCACAGCCGCGATGCGAGCCAAGAGCTCACGTCTAACCGCTCCCGGCTCGCGCCGCTCCCTGGCGCCTACCGCTGCCGCGACGGCCCGGACCGACGCGTCAGCAGCCTTGGACGTGCCCCCTCTGCACTTCGTGCACCACCGCCGCTGCTGGCGGCCGGCACAACATCGAATCGGGAAATCGGATCGGATCAACTTGTCGGACACGGCTGCGCCAAGGTGCACAACATTGCCGTGCGAACAGCTGGCTACCTCGGAGCGTCATAATGTCGGAATCAAATGGGTTCGGGCTGGCCAGACTCGATAGCGAGTTGGATCGATCGGATTGGAATGGCCCCCCCGCAGATCAGATCTAACGTTGCAACCACAAGTCGGCGGCGAGCTCGGGAGGGAGTGAGAAAGGGCGGGCCTTCCCAGAAGGCTCGAAGTCCCCGGGCCTTCTGAGAAGTTTTCTAAGCCGCCCCCGAAAGCACAAAAATCCTTTTAGAATGCCAGGTATGCCTTCTGAGAAGCACCGTCGCCCCTTCTCACTTCCTCCTCTCGCTCGCCGCCGAACAATGCAGCATCGCGAAACATCGCGACCGGAGCCCTGGACCCTATCTTTTAGCGGGCGAAGAACGGTGTAACATACAATGTTTTGCTGTCGGGGGCGCCTGCCCCAGAGCAGCTGGAAATTGTTATACCCTTACGGTGGCACGTCAAGGTATGACCTTTCCAGCCGCCCTGGGGCAGCGCCCCTGGCGACGGAAACATATATATATAGAGAGAGAGAGAGAGAGAGAGAGAGATTAGACAAATTTCGCCCGCTCCATTATCCCGAGCCGGATCCATTTGCGAAGGCCCCGAGGCCCGCAACCGGGCGAAAACGCGCGTTGGGGAACAAAAACGCTACGCAAAGATCCCCCCCCAGCAAAAGCGTCGACGCCCAGAGGTCTGGACCCTTCCCCTGCGACAGGCTTGTCATCCCGAGTCTTCTTGTTGGCGGTCCTGGGGCCCAGCGAGGGCCCCCGGAGGCCGAAAAGAGCGAACAAAAAACAACTCCCGCCGTGCTTCTTTGGCAACGTGACGGGTGTCTGGGCATGCCAAGATCGGTGAGACGTATAAGACTCGGGTGCGGGGGACTCGGGTTGGCCGGACGGGGCCATCGTAAAAACGACGAAAACGAATCGGAAACTTGACGCGGCCTCCCGCTGCAGACGTCCCACGAAAACGAGAATGGTCCGCCAACGTCCAGAACACGCTCGTCCGAAAACGTCGGCATGCCCGCGTCACGTTTCCCCGACTCGGCACCTAAACATTCCCGTCGAGGCTTCAGGCCGCCCAGAAGGGTCGGTAGGATTAGATCGAGCATGTCCCCCTACAGGCGGATTTGGGACGAACCATAAACTTACCAAAAATATCCCCCGAACTATTCAAAAATCGTATAACAATTGGTTCCACGACTATGTTTCAACTATTCTTGAATATTCCCCCTGCAGAGGGACAGGCCCGACTTCGCGGTTGGCCTGGGGGGGCCCGTCTCCTGGCACTCTCTCTGGGAGGTCTGGGAGCCCCCTTTGCCCTCGGCCTGGAGGGCGCTGGCCCTGCGGGGAGCGGGCCCTGATTCTCCCCGGGGCCTTCCCACTGGGCCCAGCTCCCCGAGGCCATGTCTGACAGGGGCCAAATACGCCAATATTTAGGTCGGGCATGTCCCCCTAATGTCAAAAAACAATGTTGGACACAAATATGGGAGGACAGCTAAAAAACAACATTCGAGGCGCTGCGATGCGCATATAGGAAA